GCATCATCTTTAGAAGAGGCTTCCTTCTGGGACGACAGCCATGCAGACCAATTTGATGCAGTGTGCGGCGTATGGTCTAAGCACTGACAGGCTGACCCCCCACCCCTTCAACCTCTGCAGCAATGCTGGCAGCACTCATACGTGTATTTCCCAAACATAACCTCTGGATGTGACGCTGAGCATGTGCACTCAACTTCTTTGGTCGACCATGGCGAGGCATGTTCTTAGTGGAACCTGTCCTGTTAAACCGCTGTATGGTCTTGGCCACCGTGCTGCAGCTCAGTTTCAGGGTCTTGGCAATCAAATTTACACTGTTATACAAGCTGTACACTCACTATTTTACATTGTAGCAAAGTGTCATTTCTTCAGTGTTGTCACATGAAAAGCTATAATAAAATATTTACAAAAATGTGAGGGGTGTACTCACTTCTGTGAGATACTGTATATTAAAATGTCACTTTTTGTCTTCCACTGAAAAAATTAGATAATATGTGCAATAAGTGTTATAACAAGTACTTTAAAAGACACTGACCTCTGGTGGGATGCTGTCGTCTGAATCCGAACTGTCATCTGAGCCTTGTCCGTCAATGCTCATCTGCAGGAGTTGGTCGATGGTGGCATCCACAGCCCCATTATTGGAGCGCAGTACGCACTCGATCACCTCATAGTCCATGCTAGGGAACATGGTTTTAAAGTCCTCCATGGCCTGGTTGAACTCCAGCCGTCGAACTTGCCGGTTGGGCCTGGAGTTGTTGAGCTCACCTGTAGCCGAGCCCCCACCATCCCGAGACCCTCCATTACTGCTGCTGCGTCGGAAAAGGCTGGTCATCCTACAGGTAGACCTGTTTTCTTACCTGACCAACGATGCCACGCAGGAAACGTTGGCGCCTATTTCTGCCTGAAGTCTCCCACAAAATATATCTGTCTGTCCGCCTCACTTGTTTCTTTGATTTCTGGAACTATTAAAGTTCACTTTTTCATCATTCCGAATACAATCTAGTCCACTGGAGCAAGAGAAATCCTTTCTTTCTCTTCTTCTGCTTGTTAAGCTGCATCCAACACGACAGTACGGAGTCGACGACACGAGGGAAGTAGACGGTCTGGTCTTGAGCGCTCTAGCTTTGTGTCCGACTGTACGATCTCCCCATTAGCTCTACTCAAACTGAAAACAAATACACAGACAAGCTGTTAAAAAGACAGGGTTTGAGATCATACAGTTCATTATAAAAACCTTTGACTGCCAAACATCAACCGCTTAATGGTCTGACTCTGAACTCAAGCTCCTCATTGGCTCATTCTGAAGACTAACCAGCCTGTATTTGTACTTGCCCTGCCAACATTTTCAGTGGCCCGACCAAACAGTTTTATTTGCAATAACAGCTGTAAATAATACAGCTATAAAGACAAAGTACTATAAATTCATGTACACTACAGTAGTGTTCAAAAGTTTGAGGTTGGTAAGATTTTTTAATGTTTTTGAAAAAAGTCTCTTATGCTCACCAAGCTGCATTTATTTGATCAAAAACACAGTAAAAACAGTAATATTGTGAAATATTATTAAAAATGTAAATAACTGTTTTCTATTTTAATATATTTTAAAATCTAATTTATTAGTCATGGCAAAGCTGAATTTTCAGCAGCCATTACTCCAGTCTTTAGTGTCACACGGTCCTTCAGAAATCATTCCAATATGTCGAATTCAAGCTCATTAAACATTATTGTCATCAATGTTGAAAACAGTTTGTGGAAACAGTGATACTTTTTTTCAGGATGTTTTGATAAATAGACCAAAGGAACATAATTTATTCAAAATATTTAACAATGTAAAAGTATTTACTAGCACTTTTGATCAATTTAATGCATCCTTGCTGAAATAAAGTTTTAATTTATTTTAAATGAAGTGCATAATGGAATATATTCTTGCAATTTCAACAAAACCCTTATCTATATTAGCCAGCAACATACTATGACCTTATTTGCTAACATATATATTTAAACATTTACAACTGAAAGGTATAAAAAATAAACATCATCAATAAATGTAGTATTCAGTGACAAAGCAGTCTTGATCCAGTAGACCTACTGGACAGTTTCATTATCTGGCCCGAACTCTTCCAGACTGGCCCCATAGGGCATATGTTATCACATAACATCAGTTCAGCTCCAGTAACAGCACTAGCTTGGCCGGATTAGAACTAGTCAGTGTCTATGAAACCAACCATAACTAGTGATTTACGTGAGTTAAACCAACCGTAACTGAGCAACCATAACTAGTGGAATGGTCTCCACTCAATAGACTAGATCAGGGGTCACCAAACTGTCCTGGAGGGCCGGTGTCCTGCAGAGTTTAGCTCCAACTTGCCTCAACAGACCTGCCTGGAAGTTTCAAGTATACCTAGTAAGACCTTGTTTAGCTGGTTCAGGTGTGTTTGATTAGGGTGGGAGCTAAACTCTGCAGGACACTGGCCCTCCAGGGCCGAGTTTTGTGACCTCTGGACTAGATGGTTAGACAGAAGAAAACGGCTGTGGGATGTCTTTGACCACAAAACCTTTGATTTAACAGAATAAACTCTCATTTCAACCAATGTTTTAGAAAAACAGTGATTTATAACGTTCTAAAATTTGCTGTAGTAGGGAAGATACTGTGTATGTAAATGGCCTTTACAACTTACTGCAGTTAAAATTTCTTATTTCCTGAATCAGTCATTTATATTGTTTCTTGTCCTGTATGTATGTAAGTGATAATATTGCACTGACTATTCATTATCCTGCTCACTATGGGACTACCTAACAAATAAATAAATAAATGGACATGAAATATTGACTTGTATTGAAATAATTGAGATCAAAGTGACCATGAAGACAAGAAACTAAAATAGTTCTGTTGAAAACTGGTTGCTGGGGACAATGGTCAATTATATATTATATAGTTTTTCTGAGCACAGAATGCCATAGTTGAATAAATCAAAAGTAATAATTTCAGTGTAAAGTAAAATAAATAAATAAAATTAAAATGATATAGTGTATGCATATATATATTAGTGGTGTCAAAATTAGCGCATTAACACAGGCGATTAATTTTTTCAGTTTAACGCGTTAACATTTTTTAACGCAATTAACGCAGGGACGGGGCTAGGGTTGGCCACCGCACTCACAACTGCTGTTTCTGTCACTTTTTCTCTTGACAAGAAGTGCATTTATTCAGTCGTAGAACGACTGAGAACGGGAGACATTTCAGACACGCGCTCCACTTCACTTCAGCGCCAGGCGCGAGTCAAACGAGCGCGGAAACAGTACTGTGCTCGCAGCGCGTGATCTTCAATTGCAGGCACAAAGGCGCCAGTGCGCGCTGTAGCCTGTATCCTTTCATATCAAAGCGTGAAATAAACTACGTGCATGCAATGTCGTGGTCAGTTAAGTGTAACGCGTTACTAGTAACGCGTTACTGCCAAACACTGCTTAAAACTGTGCATGCATGTAATTTATTTTATGAGTCACATTTAAGAACATGTCTCTGAAATGGTTTTCATAACTGTCCTGGAGCAGCCCAACACTGTCTCACTCATCTAACACACCTGATTTAACTCGTCAGCTCATTAATAGAGACTTTAAGACCTGAAGTGGGTCAGAAAAGGTCAAAATTAAATTAGAAGTTATTTTTTAAAGTCTAATAAATGTTAAAATTGATAGCTCTAAATTATACTGTGGGGGGGCAATTTTATAGAGAAATAAGTATTGGTATTGGTATCATTGATACTGGCCTTTAGTCATAAAAAAAGATGCCATTAAACAAATATTAAAAAATATACTGTCTTTATGTTGTTTGTACATTAATTTGAAAATTGAATGTGAAATTATTGCAATTTGTAAAACTTTAATGTTAGGTGGGATTAATCGCGATTAATGGTACAATATGTAAGATTTTTTTATTAAAATACCCAAAATCCACTAGAACAGTGTTATATATTTTGCTGACTTGTGTACTTACATTATCCCAAATGTTTCGAAGAATGTTTAAATCCAGAGAAATAAGCAATTTTAACTAGAGACACGGACCGTTTCCATAGTGTCATTGTGTCGCCTGCTAATGACGTCATAACCCCTTGATTTCCGGTTTTGTTTTGTAGAAAATATGGAAACACTAAAGACGCTTTAATATGTTGTGCATTTTAACAGACCGGTGACGACTGCACAGAGTAGCGTTATAACAGAACTTTCAAATGTATATAGTATGATAAAACAGCGCTGCTTTTTTTCCCCACATACGCACGACCGGAAGGACGGAAGCGGTCGACTGTGGCATAATAAGAATATGCGCCCTCTAGCGGCGAAAATTACATATTGTGCCTTTAATTTCAGAAAAATGTGCGATTAATTAGTAAATTTTTTTTGAATCGATTCACAGCACTAATATATATATATATATATATATATACACACACACACACACACATATAGATAGAATGATTCCACACTCTGTCACGGCGTCATCAAACTATGCCTTTGCCTCTTTGTTTATTTTGAATATGCGCCCTCTAGCGGCGAAAATTACATATTGTGCCTTTAATTTCAGAAAAATGTGCGATTAATTAGTAAATTTTTTTTGAATCGATTCACAGCACTAATATATATATATATATATATATATACACACACACACACACACAGATAGATAGAGATTTTATATTTATTTATTAAATTTAATACATTTGTTTAAAAATGATATAAAATGTATAAATGTATAAAATAATTTCATAAATAATGATAAAACATTTTTAATCATCCAAAAACGTTTATTTCAAGGTTTAAAATAAAATTATTTTTTAAAAGAAACATCAATTATTGTCAAATAGCAAATCTTATTTTAAAATGCAAATGCATTAATTTACCTTTTTTGGACTACGTAATGCTTGACCATCCTCAGGACTCAGTCTTCTTTACATCTAGTGGTCCAAAGTTTTCCATATATCTGCTTTCAGTTATGATGCGAAACAGGAATGCTTAAAAATGTGCAAGTCTACAGAGCACGGCTGCAACTTTGCTGTGATGTTCTGGGATCTCATATGGCTGCCTCCTTAGCTGCCCCATTTCCACCCTCCCTTTCTCTCCCCTCTCAGTACAGGGCAGAGAAATCCCTGCTTCGGTGAAACAATGCACACAGCCGAGCCCGAGCCAAGCCCACATGGCACTGCCAGGACCCAGAACCCCTCACCAGCCTCTCGTTGGCATGGAGACATTTTGTGATGTAAACAGGATGCTTCGCCGTGCACTGATATGAAAGCGTATGCATGCCTGCAGGGATGCACTGTTTAATGCTCGAGGAAAAATTCTTCTCGTGGACAATTTCAGTGGCTTGAGTATTGTGTTCAAAAGGTATTGTTTTAGTTCCCTACTGAACCAAGCTCCTATTTTGCATCTACTTAGTCATTCTGGTTAGACGCTGCGATGCCTTGACGACGCACAACAAGAAAGGTCACCGAAACAAGAGTGGCTTTCTAAGACCATGAGTTCTATTTGGTATTTTGAGTTCTATTCTATTTGGCTAGGAGTAATGGCAACTCAGAAAAATAAGCTGAGGAGAACTGTGATTTCTGGAAAATCCTTGGTCTAGGATATGTTTAAGAGTTTATTATAGTGCTTTCAGGCAATGCTGTGTTGATATTACTTAAAACATGCTAATTCAGGGTTTACCTAAAATTTGACTTCTAAAATAATCTGCCTGAACCGCTGAACATACAAAAAATGTTCTGATTATAAATGACATAAGCTTTCTTTATAAAAGAATAAAAAAGTCTGAAAATCTCCTATTGACTTTCATTTTTTAAATGTTTACCAGCAACAGCATTTAAAATGTAACCAACAGTGATGATGTCATCATACTATTTGCATACTGAATTATGATTGTTATTTTCTTTCTTGCATTTGCTACTGTTCAAAAGTTTGGTGCCAGTATTTTTTTATTTTTATAAATTAATACTTTTATTCAGCAAGCATGCATTAAATTGATCAAAAGTGACAGTTAAGACATTGCTACAAAAAATGATTCTATATTCACAATCTTCAAGAAACAACTGAAAACTCTTCCGTGAGCATCTAACTGCCTCATAATAATAATAATAAAAAGATTCTATGCCTTCACGTTTTCTGTTCTCTTATTGTCCTATCTTTTTACTTTGAACAATGACTGAAACCTTGTATAACGGACACTTCTTGTGTTTATTGTCATCTTATGATAAATCGCTTGTTGTATTCCTCAACTGTAAGTCGCTTTGGATAAAAGCGTCTGCCAAATGAATAAATGTAAATGTAAATAAATGCTGTTTTTTTTTTACATTTCTATTTATCAGAGAATTCTGAAAAAAATGCATCACGGTTTTCACAAAATGTTTCTTGAGCACCAAATCAGCATATTAGAATGATTTCTGAAGGATCATGTGACACTGAAGACTGGCTGAAAATTCAGTATTGCATCACAGGAATAAATTACATTTTAAAATATAAATAAAATAGAAAACAGTTTTTTAAATGCAGCCTTGGTGAGCATAAGAGACTTCTTTCAAAATAATTTCAAAAAATCTTACCAACCCCAAACTTTAAAAGTTTAGTGTATTTAACTATTAAAAAACAGTGAGTTTACACTGCAATTACAATAATTTAATAGTATTATTAATAATAATAAAAATTCCCTTTTAGATGCATTTCATGGTCTATAAAACCCTCAGCCTGTAAATAGTTCCTCCTCAAAAGCAATACTATATTTAGTCCAAAGCTGCTCGATGTCTGGTGGAGTATTTCAGTATGGAATTTTTTCAGTATTATTTCAACTCCCATCAGGGATCCCTGGAGACAGGAAATGGGGAACAGGATGCGCCATAAAGCCTTTAGAAGTCTCAGAAACTTGTAGCAGGTTTAGTGCAAAGACAATATTCTATAATGTAATATGAATGTCAATAAATCAGAAGTGTTAAAAGATAATCTAGTAAACTATTTTGTTCACAATGAATGCAAGGAAGTAAACATCTGGAGTTTGATGCACACGAGGTACAAAGAGCTGTAGTCAATATATAGATGAGCTTATCATCAACATGCCACTTTCCACTTACCCTTCCTGCTTGAGACTCTCACTTCCTATTGTGAAGTACCCGTCTGACCCATCACTAACACCCCATATCAAAGAGCTTTGAACTGAAGATGAACACAGCAGAGATGAGCTGCAGTGCACATATAAGTATGCTCAGAGTTGGCACAGACTGCACAAAGCCAAGGCCGCACATTCCACAGAGCTATTTTTCACATGACTATGATCTGTATCCGAGAACCTTCTATAATGGGAGCCAGATCTCGATTTTACTCCTCCGGAAAACCAACTCATTGTCTCCACTGCCAATGTAATGACAAAAAAACAAAACAAAAACTGAGCAGATGTAAACTATTCATGCTAAATGTGCTTCATAAATCTGTTCTGTTACCTGCTTAGGAATTATTATTAGTGGGATGTTTTAAAAACAATCAAAGGTAGTGGGACTTTGGGCAGTTTGGCTGCTTATTCTTACTAGGTAATATATAACCTAAAAAAACATCTAGGAAAGTCCTTTGACCACAGTCCAATCTATAACATGCTTTAACAGCTGTCATATAGCTGAATGGAACAGTGGTTATATATAAAAAAAGAATAATAATTCCAGAAATGCACTTTTTCATTATCGATGCTGAAAACAGTAGTGTTGCTTTACTTTATTAATTTTTTTGATGAAAAGAACAGTATTTAAAATATAAATATTTTGTAACATTTAAACTATATTTACTGTCACTTTTGATCAATTTATTCCAACCATAAAAGTATTAATTTCTTTCAAAACATAAAATAAAAATAAAAAATAAATCAATCTACTGACCCCAAACTCTTGAATAGTAGTACATACACACTATATATTGTTTTTTAAACAATATATCGTCATTTTAAACAAACAGGCTGCCAAGTAAATTTAATGTTCAAATAAACAACAGAAATAAGTGAACATAAGAACAATATTTAACGATTTTTTCTTATCTGCACCAATATAACACATTAAAAAAGCAACAGCTAAGTACATACTTTCTGTACTAAAACATTTAAAGCATGTCAATTGCCATTATGAAAACAGTTTCAGATTCAAAGAAATAAAGAGTTCAAACGGCTTCAAGGAAATTAGTTAAACTTCAAAACTATACTGGCATTTTTCATACTGAAGTTTAAAGCAAAGATGTTATTTATCATGTTCCTTGATTTATCATGTTCAATCTAATACTGAATACATCACAAATTCATTATAACAAGCAAGCCCTAATTATAATCTGATAGATTAATGGAACTGGATCTGACAAGAAAGCTAGTATGGATGCTGTGACACAGAATAAGAAAACAACTGCCAACCGTCCGCAGCAGACATGAACTCTTGAACCAAACAAACTCACTGACTCATAGTCAATAACTCACATGGTGTGCAGAAGGTTTCCAGATCCAACACATGATGTGAATTATGGGAAAAGAAACACATCACATCCTTCCTGCAAGCTGGACATCCAGATGATGCAGTGCTTTAAAAACTCCATTTAGAAAAGCCTGAACAGCATCACCTGCTCTGAGTAGGGGTGGGTGATATGGCAAAAATATCCTATGACTTTTTTATTTCAGGGAAATGACGATTCACGATTTTATCACGATTCTTTTCATGTTGGTTTTACTATTTTGCAAGTTGTCTGAGCAGTACAGCCAAACTAATTTCCCTATTTTAAAAAACTAAGCCTTACAAGGTAACAAAATATAAAATAAAAAAGAATGGCAGATATTTAGGCCAAAGTGAACAAAGATAAAAATCATTGTCATTATTTTATCTTTGTTATTAAAAAAATAAGAACAAAGATACACATTACAAATACATATAAAAAAACGAACTGCTTTATTTTTCAGGGACAGTACAGTACGTGTATTTAGCAGTAGCATTTAAGAAATCGAATGAACAAATATAAAAATAAAACACTGTATACACTAGTGTTGTCACGGTACCAAAATTTCAGTATTCGGTACCAATACCTGAACAAAATTCATTCTAATGCTCATATTAGCGTTAGTCGCGCTTATGCTAACGAATAACTACGTATACGCTAATGGTGATGTTTATTTCAATCCGAAATTCAAATTAAAATATGGAATAATATTCATTACAGAATTGTTTTATTAACATTAAAGGGATAGTTCACCCAAAAATATAAATTCTGTCATTATTTACTCACTCTCATGTTGTCAAGTTCTTTCTTGTGCTGAAAACAAAGGAAGATGTATCAAAAAGTTGCTGGTCCCCAGTGACATCCCTAGCATATTTTTTCCTACTATCAAAGTCAATGGAGCTTTTTGGTTATCCACATTCTTCAAAATATCTTCTTTTGTGTTCAGCACAAGGAAGAAATTAAGACAGGTTTGGGACAACATTGAGAGTGAGTAAATAATGGCAGAATTGTAATTTTTGGGTGCACTATCCCTTTAATGACAAGCGGCAGCGTGTTTAGATTTGATTAGATTAGTTTGCTGCCCCTTTAAGACCTGCACGCATCTAATATACAGGCATGCATCTGTTTTTCTCTCACTTTTTACTTTCACTTTAGACATAACCAACTGTGTTTATATGTAAACCTTTCAGAAAACTTAGTCCAGTAATCAGGTGCTGTTTGACAGGCTTTTTAGTGTGTACATGCTTCAGGTGCATGCGCTCAGAAAAAGCGAATTTCAAAACAGCATGCGAATGAAATTTTTAACCGGCAAGGCTTTAAAGCATAGGCAAATAATGTACTTTTGTGATTGCGAAGTGCAGTGCCCCGCGAGTGTAACTCTACTACTTAGTTAAAGGGGTGGTTGATTATGATTTCACTTTTTTTTCCACTTTAGTTAGTGTGTAATGTTGCTGTTAGAGCATAAACAACATCTGCAAAGTTACAAAGCTCAAAGTTCAAAGCAAAGGGAGATCTTTTCTTTTAAGGAAATCACTGTTTAAAGACTACAAAAAAAGGCTGGTAGGGACTACAACAAGCTTCTTCCCGGGTTTGTGGCATCACTAACCCCAATGTTTACATAAACCCTGCCCCCTGGGAACATGCAACTACCCGTAATGGGAAGGGGTGATATCAAGTGTACAAACTGTGAACATCAGTTTTAAACTGATTTTTTTTTTTTTGGGAGAAAATCTGCACAATTCAGTGGAATGGAATTTATACATAGTACAGGCGCCCATACTAATATATGAGAGGATAAAAAAATTAACTAATCTTAGAGCAGAAACTAAAAAAAAAAAAAAAAACTATTACTGCATTTCACAAATAAGTGCATTTACTAATAACTAGTGCTGTCAAAATTAGCGCAGGCGATACATTTTTTCAGTTTAACGCGTTAAAAATATTTAAGAGTTAATGCAGGAGCGGGACTAGTATTGGTCACCCCACTCACAACTGCTGCCTCTGTCTCTTTTTTCTTGCTAATTTATTCTCAGAACGTCTTTACGAGCACATCAAACAGGAGACGTTTCAGACGCGCACTCCACTTCACCTCAGCGCCAGGCGCGAGTCAAACGAGCGCGGAAACGGTACTGTAGGCTACTCGGCGCGTGCTCTTCAATTGCACGCACAAAGGCGCACAAAGGCGCGCTGTAGCCTTTATCATTTCATATCAAAGCGCGAAAAAACAACGTGCATGCAGTGTCGTGGTCAGTTAAGTCATGAAGGCGATTAAAGCTGCCTTAAAACTGTGCATGCATGTATTAGGCTATATGTTAACTTATATAATGTCTCACATTTAAGAACTCTGAAATGGATTTCAAAACTGTCCTGGAGCAGCCCAACACTGTCTCCATCATCTAACACACCCGATTCAGCTCGTCAGCTCATTAATAGAGACTTTAAGACCTGAAGTGGGTCAGAAAAGGTAAAGAGAATTGAGAGAAAATACGATGCGTGTCAGATCCGTGTCGTGTTCAGCAGCGGCAGCTCTTAAAGAAATAACAGCCAAAATAACCTATTAACCCAGCTGCTGTGTGTCTGTTCATCGAAGAACAAAAGAGGAAATCAATAACTTTTATAGCTTTAAGGATTCATCTATATTTAATTTAGAATTTAGTGTTTGATAACTTTATTCAATTTCTGTATATTTACTACTCTAAATATGACTGGTTATAATGAGTTTATGTGAAGATTGTTTAAAGTTCACTTAAATTAGAAGTTATTTTTATTAAAGTCTAATACATATTAAAATTGATAGCTCTCAATTATACTGTAATGTTGAATGGCTATAGTCAATGGTTAAATATTAGGAAAAAAATAATTTTATAGGAGGCATCAGTAGTGTTGGTGTCAGTGATACTGGCCTTCAGTCATAAAAAAAAAGATGCCATTAAACAAATATTAAAAATATACTGTCTTTATGTTGTTTCTACATTAATTTGAAGATTAAAT